AAGATAACTTAATATAATTTAAGTACTACGCATTCATAATTCAAAATAAATTATTTAAATAATAATAATAAAACAACACAATATAATATTTATCTGATCTCCTTTCATCTTCAATATAAAAGTTTAATTCCTTAAGTAAATTCTGTTAATTTAATTCTGATAATGATAGATATGTGTTGATGTGCTGCAAAAGACCAAAATCTGATGCATGACTCACAATTATTTTGCACTCAGTTGTGATAAATCAACTACAATGTTAAAGTTAAATTCCCCATGACTGTTAGGTAAATTATGATAATATTACGAAAGTTCCAACTATTAATATCAAATACGTAACTTTTGACGGTATGTCTTTTGAGCTTTATCTTCTTCGACAGTGAAAGACTTTTTATTCATCTTATCTTTGTATATAGTTAATAGTTGAAACAAATAAAACGTTATTTTGTTCAAGTTAGGATTTACTATTATTTTAAAGACCAAAATACGAAATGAGAATACATATATAGGATAACAAAAATCACCCGAATTTTTAATCAAATTTTCAAGAAAAAAGAAGGCCATTCTCTATATATAAATGAGACTTGGCTCACACGTGAAGCATGGTTGGGACGTCCGTGACTAATAAACGGCCAAAACAACTTTCAAGGCCACAAATCCATGAAAGTTTTTATTTTTTTTTAAATTTTTTATTACAATGATAAAAAGAAGAAAATTTGCATTGAATTTTGGCAGCACTCCTTCAATTTCCTATAATTGCGCCTTCAAATTATCCACATTTTCCTACCTTACTGCTACATGAACTACACAATTAGTTCCTCATGTTTGGGGTCTTTCTTTTTNNCCCAAAAAAATTAAGTCAAATCTCCTGTTTCAGATGAACATCTTTTCATGAAAAGACACAAATTCACAAAGAGAAGATTGGATTCAATTAGGCGGGTCGATCAACCTAACTGTTCGTATACAAGAATTTTTGTGTTTGTCCGATTTTTTTTGGTATATACAACAAGATATCAAATGATTATAATTTGTCATCCAAAAATTTGTACATACATTCTTATCATAAAGCACATACAGAGCTCTTTTGTTAAATGTTTTAGGAACTGAAATTAGCTTTGTCTAAGGAAAACCACAAAAAAATAATTAAAAAAAAATTGAGTGCTTGGAGAGTTTTCTTTTATAGGCCAATAATTTTTTCATTGTCATTCCACTTGCAGCCATTGTTATTCTTAGATATTATGGTTAGTTATGCATGTAAAACTCAGAACCGGAAAAGCTTGCAGCAATTGATACAATCATTATTCATTTATATATTATGGTTTGTTATGTATAGAAACTCGAACCCAAATAAGCATAAAATAAATCTACAGCATTCTTAAAGGAATACAAGTTGGTGTTATGGTTAACGAGGCCTTAAATACGCTAAATTAAGGACAATGGCATGTAAACGAGCTGAGTCGAAGCTCGGCTTGTTAAATAAACGAGCCAAAAATCAAGCTCGAGTTCAGCTCGTTTATCACTATTAACGAGTCGAGCTTCAACTTTAACGAGCCGAATTATAGAAAATTTTCTTTTCAAGCCGAGTTCAATTAACCAAATGAGCTTTAAATGAGCTCGAGCTCGGCTTGTTAAGGGTTCGGACTCGAGCCTTAACGCGCTAAATCATGCTCGCTTAATTTAACAGCACTAATCATAATTTCACATACATCTATGCATATATGTAATGGTTACAACGACATATTTTTTCAATGGTCGATTATAATGTTTTTTTTTTTTTTTTCGTTTTTGTCTGTACCTTCAGTACTTAAACCAAAAGAATATAATGTTTTTCATGTCAGAATTAAGTAACCAATCCAATTCCCTGTTTTTCCATTTAGGCCCGTGCCTTGAATTATTTTTTTTGTTCTTTCCACCGTTAGAGACTCCGAATTTAATTTTTGTTTTCTTTTGCCCAACATTTCATGATTCACGCAGTAGATCCCGTGAACAAACACTCTCTCTCCCTCTCTCTCACCCAATCTCTATCTCTCCCACAACTGTTAACTAACAGTCTAACTGCCTTTTTTTTCTATATAAACCCTCACCAAAAGTCTCTAATCCTTAACCCCTCCCAATAACATTAAACTTAAGTGAAAAAAAGAAAAAAGAAAAGAGTTATTATAACCAAAAAAATGTTACCCTCAGCAAAACTCTGCTTCACAATCCACGTCTCATGCACAGCCCTTTCCTTATTTGTCCTATCTTGCGCGGCATTCACCGTGCAAGATTACGAAAATGCCCTCGAGAAATCGATCCTATTCTTCGAGGGGCAAAGGTCCGGTAAACTGCCGCCTAACCAACGCCTTACGTGGAGAGGCGACTCTGCATTAACTGACGGCTTGCTTAACAATGTACCTACTCATATGTATATTTGTAGTGTTTACTTTTNTAAGTTTTATTGAGATTAATGTTGTTGTTAGACTAACTCCACCTTTATTTCAAGCTCCATATTTCACTTTTACAAGCTAATTATATATATGTATGTATATGTAAGTACGGAAAATGTTCTAAAAAGGGCCAAACCGAAAAGTAAATAATGAGCCATTTTGGCCCTCTACTACATTTTACAGAGGATGTACAGAATAAATTTTTAGAGAGCTTCCAAAGCTAGCTTGTTGGAGCAAACTCGAGCAAATTGACACTTTGAGAGTGTTTAATTCGTTTGGGATTTCGAGTGACATTTTGAAATTTGAGACTTTTGAAGATTTTTAAATTTAGAAAGAATCCTTTGAAATCTCAAGTATGCAAGTGGGATTTGGTGTGAAATTTCGTATGCGATTTTTTCTTTTTAAATCTCTGCAAGTCTAAATACATCAGAAATCTTTCTGAATTCTTAAAAATACTTTAAAAATTTCAATCGAATACACCCTAGTCTGCATAATGATGAGATAGTTGTACTTTTTCAATGTATAAACATACTTTCATACTAATAAAAATACAATATAAATAAAAATATTAGCATTTCATAGTATAAGTACGTAATTTTATCAACAAAGTGTAACTCTCTAACCACTGGACATACAACCTGACATCGAAATTTTTGTTCCGTTAAATTTTTTTTTTTTTTTTCGAGGTTTTATTTACTTATATATACTATATTTCGAGCGGTGTATAGGTGGATCTTTCGGGAGGCTACTACGACGCGGGAGACAACGTGAAGTTCGGTCTGCCGATGGCGTTCACGACCACGCTACTCGCGTGGAGCGTGATCGAGTTCGGCAACTCCATGAGAAGCCAAGTGGGCCCCGCGAAAGATGCCGTGCGTTGGGGAACAGACTATCTACTCAAAGCTGCCACTGCCGAACGAGATGCGCTTTACGTGCAAGTCGGGGACCCCAACTCCGACCACCGATGTTGGGAAAGGCCCGAAGACATGGACACGGCCCGTAATGCCTACAAAGTCGGGCCTTCAAATCCGGGCTCAGATGTCGCGGCTGAGACAGCCGCGGCATTGGCGGCTGGTTCCATCGTGTTCAAAAATTCCGATCCTTCGTACTCCAAAAAGCTGCTTCAAACAGCAATGCAGGTAAATGAATATTGAATAACACACAATAATTCCTTTGCTTTTGGTAAAAAGTATGATTTTTGAACACATTTCCTTTTTGTAGGTGTTCGATTTTGCCGATAGGTATAAAGGGTCGTATAGCGACTCGTCGCTTAGCTCGTTCGTGTGCCCGTATTACTGCTCATACTCGGGTTATCATGTAAGCCGAATAGCGCATTTATGTCGAATCAATATCTATCGACGTGCAACCATCTTTACCTTGTTGAACTGTGGATTTGCAGGACGAGCTTTTGTGGGGGGCGTCGTGGCTTCACAAAGCTTCGAACAACGGCTCGTATTTGGCGTACATTCAGTCTAACGGTCAGACGCTAGGTGCAAATGATGACGATTACTCGTTCAGCTGGGATGATAAACGGGCCGGGACCAAAGTGTTGCTCTCACAGGTTCGAACCCGAAATTATTCTCTGCATTACTCGGCTCGAGTAAATACTTTTTTCGAATATATATTTATATGTTTTCGTATGCAGGGGTTCTTGGAGGATAATATTCAACAGCTTCAGCTGTACAAATCACATTCAGACAACTATATATGCTCCCTAATTCCAGGCTCACCCAGTTTCCAGGCTCAGTACACTCCAGGTACATTATAAAACATAAGAAAATTTCAATTACTAGAAAAAAGAAGTAGATTTCTACTTGTATATTAAACTTTTTAGAGCAAAAAAAAAAAAAAAAANCAAAAAAAAAAAAAAAAATAACAGGGGGCTTGTTCTACAAAGAAAGCGAAAGCAATCTGCAGTACGTGACCACATCGACTTTTCTACTGCTGACATATGCGAAATACCTGAAGTTACGAGGAGGGGCCGTCTCATGTGGGCCCTCGACTGTGGGCCCGGAAAATCTCATAGCCCAGGCGAAAAAGCAAGTGGACTACATATTAGGAGATAATCCTGCAAAAATGTCTTACATGGTGGGGTTTGGGCCGAGGTACCCTCAACACATACACCACAGAGGCTCGTCATTGCCATCAGTGCACACAAACCCAGCCCGAATTTCCTGTAATGACGGGTTTCAATACCTCTATTCGGGCTCGGCAAACCCGAACATTCTTGTGGGCGCCATTGTGGGTGGGCCCGATAATCGGGATGGTTTTGCGGATGATAGGAATAACTATCAGCAATCAGAGCCCGCGACTTATATTAATGCCCCGTTTGTCGGGGCTCTGGCTTTCTTTTCGGAATAATTGAATTTTTTTATTCGACATTATTGAGAAACGAACATGGAATTTTGTGGACTAAGAAGTATATTATGGTCCCATGTCCATGTAAGGAAATGTATGGAAACTAGTATTTGTGTCCTAGTAAGTAACTAAGAAGTATTTGCTTAAAAATTTAATTTCCGATGGGTCGATAGTCAATACAATGTATCGAGTTCGAAATTTTATCACATGTATCAAGATTCAAGAGGAAATATCATATCCCAAATCCTGGAATATTTTTAGTAGGTTCGACTTGTATTTACCAATTTCGTTGTTCTCAGTGGAGTCTGGGGTGGACCTGATGACTGTTATTGCTCCAGCTTCGTGCAAAGCACCAACAGCATTGTCTATAATGATTGAGAATGAAAGTAAGGTATCATGGAATAATTTTAAAAGCGATGATGCGGAAAAAAAATTAAACAAAAAAAATAATGGTGGGACGAGGAGAAGAGAGGGTTTCTGAACTATAGAACATCGACCAATGTTCATTGAATCATTTACTAGACTAAAACAATATCGAGTTAACCATGCACACGCATATTTCTAAACAAAAAAACATACAAAAAAACAAGGTGTAACAACTCTGACCTGACTTTGAGATGGCAACAAGAGCTTTCAGAGCAGCCTCCCGAGTGCGGTCGTCTTTAGCACCCGTTAACATACTCACGAGCTGCTTAGCTCCACCCATTTCAACTATTTTCATTCTTCTTTCATCTGATAATTGAAAGGGGAGGAATCAAAAAGCGTGTAAGATGCTCTTAAAAAACTTCCAAGCCTCATCTATGAGGAAAAGATCAAGGATGATAACCGTGCAAATTCTGTTGTAATTACAGCTAGACGTGTCTCTTGTTAAAAAATCAAGCGTTGGGCACAATTTTTAGTTTTTTCGCACTATCAAACTCGGATGTCTAGTTTATTTGTTAATTCATTCTGTTTATGATTATCTCTTTTTCTCCAAATTCTCTCTTGCATCTGATTCTTGTCTTCCCGTGACTTTGTAATAGCAAAGAGTTGCAATATTGGCATACAAGCCATTAGTAAACTAGGCATTTACTAACCAGTGCATAAACATTACCATCTATAGCAAAACGAGCCAATCGGGATGCTCCCATTCTTTTGAACAGAGGATCCTTCACATGTAAAAGTGATACAGATTGCTGCATCAAATTTTCTCCTGCAGAGGTACCACGGAACAACTCTTAATCGATATTTAAGATTGGAATACACACGTTTCAGTTGTTCCTTCTAAATACTAAGAAAAG